AAACAATAGTGTATAATATGAAATGATAGATGTTTTCATATCATCATCCAATATATATATATCGTCATAATGCACAGCCCTAATTCTTTTTGTTTTTATTAATTTTTCTACCTTAAACATAAAAAACAGCAACAAAAAACAAACTTTTTAAAATGTCTTTTTGTTCCTTTTTTTTTCCTCAGAAAAAATCCTGACTAGTCTCAATGGCTGAGATGGAGGAGCAAAACAGCGACATGTTAACCTCGACTGCTGAAGTTCCTGTATGAACTGAACAACTCAGAGGAAAAGCTGAGTGTATTTTATTTAAAGCTCAGATGGGACTTGATGGACTAACATGCAGGCTGCATTCAGGACTTTATCAAACTGGTATATGAAGAGTGGTAATGAGAAAGTGTGCACACACAACGTGTCACTTTGTGCTTGCTCTTCCTCTAGCCTCTGTGTCGCTTTGTAGTCATTTGTCTTATTATTGTCTTATGTGTTGTGATTTAGGGTCTGTGTGCACAGGCAGATTTCTTTTTGCTTGGGAAGTGATCTTGTTTTCAGAGGCTTCTCTAACATTTAATGGCTGTGATATTGTCACGGCGAGTGAGATGAGCCGTGTGGAAGTAATAAAGGAGGATCCAAACACAGGCACTTGTAAAGGTGTGAAGGTGGTTTATTAAACACAAAATAAAAATAGACCGGCAAACGGAGAATGAACTAAACTATACTGGGAACAACTAACTACTGAACACGAACCAGAACATGAAGGAAGATAGACGATGGTATATGATGGTGACAGCAGGGAGAACACACGAATGGAACATGGTAGAAACACAGACGGACCAGCGACTACTACAGCAGAAGACACGACTTAAATACACTCAGAGAAACACAGGGAGATTACACAAAGGTGGGGGACACAGCTGGGAGTAATTAACGAGACGAGACAAGGGAGGTAAACTGAACACACCCACATGAGACGCAGACCTTCACAATAAAACAGGAACAAGACATCACTACACAAAGACGCAGACCAGACACAGAACTAAACCCACACAAAACATGAGAACACAAACCCTGTGAACAAAACCCTAAACCAGAACCACAGTAATATAATCTATTGTAAATAATCAAAACACCAGAGAACCCCAAAACACTCC